TATAACAATTAACTATAGGGACCTAATACTTATGCATGCATTCAGCAATATTATCCTGAAGTAGTTCCAAGAAAAAATGAGTTCATAGCATGCATATGGAACCACCATGCTGCAAAACAATAACATGCTTGCACAATCAGTATAGTTACAAAATTACTTCAAGTTATTTTGAAGTTCAAGATGTTTCAAATAATCAAATTGACTTCCACAAACATGAAGCCATACTCGAACGTGTGTGTGTCTYAAACTCTATTATGTTAGCCCACAAACCAATATGTTATGAACAACAAGATTAGTTATAAGAATACCAAAAGAAGAAATGGGTAAAAGAAGTGGCACTTTTGTGTGTGCTTCACAAAAATAGGTAATAAATCTATCACCAAATCAGTATATAGAAACGTCAATATTTATCAGAAACAATTTATTTAATTGGAAGATATTTCTAAATTCTAACTTGGAGGATACTGCTAAGTCACACATTCTTAGGGCATTATCAATAATAAATTAGCAGGAAGTATACTCACTCATCTCTTACCATCACTACACTTGGTGAGTGCAACATCTTTGTCATCAGATATGGGAACTTCATTCCCCACCAAATTGCCAGACCCATATGCAACATTTCCGGGACTATTGAAGTCTACAGTAGAACTATGAYCATCCTTCACAGCAATTTCAACCCTATRCCCCTGGCCCTGCCTAGACCCAGCACCACCAGATCTMTTATAATCCATCCTCGGTCCCACAACTTTCGRTGCATTTCAGAGGTAGGCAAGGAACAAACATTATACAGTTGATATTGCTGAAAACGATCATGTAATTTTACCTCATAGTTGAATTTGCGTTTATGGATGGGCTTGAAGTTCCATACATCCAGTATTGTCAGTTCAAACACATTTTACAAAAACATTTTACAAAATACCATAAATCATACCAAGACGTCGGCAGCTACGGTGGTCGGCGATGGTGACGGGAACAAGACGGCGGCAGCTACGGCGGCGACGGTGACGGTGACGGGAACAAGCGACGGTGACGGGAAGCGGCGACGGTGACGGTGACGGGAACAAGCGACGGTGACGGGAACAAGCGACGGTGACGGGAACAAGCCACGATGACGGGAACAAGCGACGGCGGCAGCGACGGTGGTCGGCGGCAGCGACAGGTGACTGGCTCTCTCTCTCTCGTTCGCCTCTCTCTCTCTCTCTCTCTCGTTCGCCTCTATCTCTCTCGTTCTAGCTCTCTCTCTCTCTTCGCCTCTATCTCTCTCTTTCGCCTCTTTCTATTTGTTTTCTAAAAATTACCCGGCTGGAGAAGGAAGCGGCTTAACCTAGACATTTTCTAAACATCAGCGAGGGAATTTTCCGTCGCAGATGTTAGCCAAAATTTTTAAAATAATTAGCGAGGGAA